ATCCCACTAATCAGCGGCTAGTAAACTTCGGTTGAGCTCAAACAAACGAGTCGGAAAACTTTATTTTGGCTTAAAAATGTCCGTTATAAAAAACTGGAAAATGCCGGAAAGTAACTTCCAATGTGGAAAGAAAAAAGGGGGACAAGAGATGAGTTGGCTGATCGGCCTGCAAAAGTTGGTACTTGCTAGAATGAGCTTACCGGCTCGGTGGTATGGATCAAGTGTACACCAGCCGAATCATGCAGGCCTTTTGTCAGGCTTTCCGAAAAATCGCGCGAATGTACATTGGCCGTTATCTGAGTGTCCTCGCCTGTAATGTTTACAGCATATGAGAGCAGAAGTTCAAAACGAATGTTAGAAACTCGCACCATTTATCCCTCCCTTCAATAACAGCGTGCACTGTGGGGCAGATGCAGTCATGCGTTTTTATAATGGGCAGAAGCAAGCACACACTGGACGAATGTGAAAAACAAAATCCGCTTTTATCTTGGCTCGATGGTTTTTTAACCAATTCACTGCATGAAAAGTTCGCTTCGTTCTGAAGTTATTAACGTGAAGAACTTGAAAAGAGTTAAAAGCTGATCTCTACACCGTAAGCTGAACCCGAAAATTCTCATCTGGTACTTCGACCTATCCCCAAATCAAACAGAACTGAACAGTATAAGGTATCTTCGCTATTTCTTCAGAATGCGTTTTCACTACATGAATAATGCATGAAAGCAGCAAACAGATATTATGCTAGGGGGACGGGGGACAGATCGCTTTCATTTTACCTTTTCGAAGAACGAAATTTCGCCTGCCATGCCCGGTTTATTGTGCTTGTCCGGAACACAGAAAAAACAGCTATACAGAAACAGTCAGCTACAGAGGCCCATGAACCAGCTAAACAGAAAGAGACGTAGACTAATTTCTGCCTCATAACTCCTCAGAAAGCAGCCCACCACGAAGCGGCAGTGGCCCCTCAGCCATGAAACGGGCACGACTGATGCAGACGCAACACCATATATCGTGCATTTTGAAAAAACCGGCCAATCGTGGCTGAAGCCCGTTCACCCTAAATGAAATGACCAGGGGCGTATCATGCAGCAAATTTTTAAGCCTCTCCGTCACTGTCGCCAGAATTACGAGCCCTCCACTGAAGCAGCACCTTCCGACGAGCACTCGCTCCTGCAGTTTCGCATGGCCCGCAGCACGTACTGAGTGGCTGAACTGCGCCAGGCCGAAAGTGAAGCCATGTGTGGCCGGCCAAGAGAGCAGTGGTTATGCGGAGCAAGCATTAAAGACAGTTGCAAGGCGAGTAGTAACAAAAGGGAAATTTGTGCTGGATGCGACGAGTTCAATGCACACAATTCTACCGGACAGCCTATGCATGTACGTGTGTGTGTGTGTGTATACATACAAAAGAAAGAGTAGACAGTTTAATAGAATGCGTAGTCGTAGTCGCCATCTGGCACCCACCTCCTCATTTGCAGTGCACGCTAGCTTTGTTTGCCCAGGGAAAGCTGATGACGAGTGAAGCGTGTGGTCAGTGCGAAGTGTATAAAAATGAGGCTCTCTTACACTCGCCACTGCTCAGAAGGAACAGCAAATGGCTCGAGACCACAAGTCAACTGTGTGCACGCGCTTACAACGCCCGTCTCTTTCTGACTGTAAATTCTGCTGCTGTGGGGACCAGCTGGCAGAACACGGTCTCTGCTTGGATGGAAAGAAAGCGCTCACGCACAACCCCACGGGACTACCAGGGTGCCAGAACTGAACGCTGCCTGCACAGCAGTTCCTGGGAAAATTTAACAAACCAGGCAAAAAAGACGAGTCCCACCCCTCCCCGTCGCACCGCTGAACGAGGAAGGCAATGAACGGAGCGGTTGACCTTTGGCCTTTGCTCGCCAACAGATCGTGTATCCAGCGACAATCATTTTGTCCTCCCTTCCACCAACGAGCCATCCACAGACACATTTCTGTTTATGACGTCAGGGATGCTTCGCGCAGCGCCTTTGGTATCTGCTGTCTGGTGGTGGCTAGTGTGTACGTATTTGTGTGTTGTGCATATGAATATGTGTGTGTGTGTGTGTGTGTGTGGTTACTGCCACTCTGATAGTGGTCATCACCAGCACCACCACCATCACCAGCATCAGCACTAACCAGTTATCAGCACCAAACTGAAAATTTACAAGAACTAATGAACTAATCAAAAATTATGAGCAGCTGCAATAAAGAAGTGAGAAAAATGAAAGAAAGAAGTGAAAATTGAAAAGGTGAACCAAAGCATACGTCGTGAACGATAACCGAAAGTAGTAGACGCCGCGGTTGCTGCTGCTACTGCTGCTGTTGCTGTCGGAGCGAATGATGGAGGAAGATAAGGGCTGGAGGTGCGATTGGGGGTGAAGCTCAGGTCATGCTCCTCGGACGTCGGCGAATGCTCCAGCGCGCGTAAATGCTGCATGTAGTCATCCAGTTCGACTGCCGCTAAATCGACCGTACAGAACAGCACTCAACAACAACAACAACAAACTGCATCCACAATCAACAACAACAACAACCACAATCGCAACCACAGGAGCTGTCGCGATCCAAGCAACGAGCCGACGGCACAACGCTCTGTCGATGGTCTGCTCAGGAAGCAAACAGAAGCTTAGCATGTTAAGGCATGTGTCAGTACACTTCAGCAGAAGCATGTGGCACCATAAGCAGTACCAACACTCACCAAACGCAACACTTCACTCCTCCTCCCTCTATCGCGTAATATAGCAAATAATGATTAATGGCTTTTGTTAAAAACAGATTAAGGATCAACTGCGTTACTATGACGCAGTACTCCTGTCCCTGGTTCAAAATTTAACCACCCTACCCTCATTAAACTTTCGATCTTTGTCCCCTCGGGTATAAAAGAACTCCTCCCCATCGCCGGGATCTTCATTGTTTTACCTATCTATCACTTCTATTTTACCTGCGACCTATTTCTCCTATTTAACCAATACTCTCATTCTGGGGAGCTTCGGCTCCCCTGAGCCTTACCACGTTTATTTTTATTCTCGTTTAACATGTATTCTCGCTTTGTTATAAATATTTACATAGGACGCGAAGTTTACACACACATACAAACGGGGCACACACTAGTCTAATAAATTAATTAGGGTCGCGATACCTCTTATGCGTGTCCGCTACAGGCGAACGAAGTCGTACCAGTAGCCTAGCCAGCGCCTCTTCCCCCAACGACCCGGTGCACCTCAGCTGCCCATCAAAATAACAGCACTTCCCCTATTTCATTTGCACTGAGCAACACGGCGCCCGATTAGCCGTGCATTTGGCAACTTGGTGCCAAATTCACCGTCTCCAGCCCAGTCCACTTACCCCGTCCCGTCCTCTTCATTAGTTCAGTTGCAACTGCGATAGCACCTACGAAACCAACACTTTACTTTTTTTTAATTTGATTAAAAAAGTGCAGTGCATAAAACACTCGCTTTCTCGGAGACTCGAATCCTCCTAAAAATGGGTTTTTGCACTCAGCATCACTGCTGGAAATGAAAGCAGAGCTCCATTCAGGGAGTAAAACCGGGAAATGTGAGCCCGTAACAGTCATGCAATGTGATAAATTATTAGTGCTTGTTGAGAGGATCTCAGGCACAGTCGGATCTGATAAGCAAACCAAAAGGCAAAGAATGAAACTCAACTCAAAAAAAAGAACCAATTTCGGCAGGCAGAAATAAAGAACCCCGCATTTTATTCGTCTCCTTCAAAAAGTATACCTTCATCCTCGGAGTCAGAGAACATTGTTTCGTTCATAGCTTCAGGGTTTTGAGGCCTGAATCGCTCCTCGGTAACAGTTGTGGTTTCTGTAATCACTGTTGTTTCAGTGACTGTCTTCAGTGCTTCAACCACAGACACATAGCCCAAACGTTCAGCAATCGACAGCGGAGTTTGTCCTGTCTGAAGCACCACATTTTTCAAGTGTTTGATTGTATAAGCAATGCTGAATGCTCTCTTCTGACCACCAATGAAGCCTCCTTTTCTTTTCCCCCTGTACCCCTCCAACTTCCCTCCCTCCAACTCCCCTCCTCTCGCCCCGTCCAACATTCTGATATTTTTCGGTGACATACGGAGTGCAAGAAGGATATATGCGTTTCAGTGGGCGTACATAGCAGTA